AAATTTGAGGGAAAAAATGAAGAGTGAGAAAGTACATTTTCCCCACTTCAATGACTGTCCTATGCTTGGTGTATTTCAAGTTAAAGCTTGAATGTCAAGTTTTATGCTCGTCAGATTTAAACGCGGTGCTCCTTTGAAGCAAATGTCCAACCTACCTCTTTGCTTTGTGAGCAGCTGGAAGACGGAACTAAATCTCTCTCCACTAAATATGTTGACGGGAACGAGATGAGAAGCGGCTCAGCTTGTTTCCACAATTGTGGATAAGTGTCCACAAGCTTTACCCAAGCTAACTCGTAAACGTAATTTTTAAAGACGACATTAGCCTCACAGTCATATTTCAAATCTAAAACCTCAGTCTACAAAGAGGAAGTGAGCTTATCCATAACTTCAAAAGAGAAAGGATCGAAAATCCAAACCGGAATTTCTAATTTCATCAAATCCTTAAATCTTGATTCCATTACTGATCAAGGTGATCAGTAAAAATTAAGATTTTGTTTTCGAGAATCTCGATATCTGCCATTGAACACTTTTTTAGAGTTGGAAATTGCATTAGCTCTTTGCGACCAATGTTTGGCTTGTAGGTATCAAACTTGGCGATGAATGAAGATATGATTCCCTTAGCCCTGATAATGTTCATTTTATTTCCTTGAAGTTTTACGTTGATTTCCTACATTTTTTCAAAACTATCAGTAAGGTACGCAGTTTCCAACTTGCGTTGCTTCAAACTCTCACTTAAAACAGGATCAGTGGTGTCGAGAAACTCAGTAACCGAATCCAGCAATTCGAAGAAACGGCTCAGTTTCCTTTTGAAAGCCATCTCACAGCTGTATGTAGGAGCAGGAATTCGAAATCTTCATCATTTTCATGGCAAATTTCTTGCAACAAACGGTTATTAGGAGAATTAGCTTTTATTGATGCCAGAAATAACCAATTTTTCGCAGCCAAAAGTTGACGATGAATGACATAATAAATGGTGAGATAACTTCCGGAACTTCTTTTTTAAGGTGACCCAGAAACCCAGTATTACTACCAGATATGGTAGGAGCACCATCTGTTGCACAAGCACTTACATTTGTGAGGGAAATTTCTTTTTCCTCAAAATAATCTTTGACCAATTTAAAAATCGACGATCCTTTTGTATCTGTGTTTAAAGTTCTAGTAAACAACATTTCCTCGTTAATCTCCTTACTCTCAGTTAAGAATCTCACATAAGCTAAAGCAGCTTTGTTATCTATCACAGTTGATTCATCAATCTGCAAAGCAAATTTACCTTCCTTCAAAAATCTGATGAGTTTTGATTCAACGTCGGCGGCCATCTCATCAATACGCCTGGAAACAGTATTATTGCTCAGAGGAACAGAGTGACTTATCAGATTTCCGCCTGCGATACCAAAACATATGACGAAAACGATCCTGCACTTGAATTTTTTTTTAATTTTTAACTATCATAATTCTTTGTCTACACCAGAACCATAAGTTTCATATATATTTTCAATTTCAATCTCAAATAGCTTTTGTTATTAATATTATTGGTAATTTTTATCTTTTGAATACTCGTCGCCCCCTGATCGCCCCCCGAAGGATTATCGCCCCCTTAAGAAGCTCTATCGCCCCATTTGGGGCGATCGCCCCCAGGTTGGGAACCACTGGGTTAGAGTAACCTTGCCGTCAGGATAACCGTGGGAGGTTCTCGTGGTCTTCCTCCTCTCCATGTAAAGCAAATGCGGGTTAGTTCCATCAAAAAGTTCTCCACGAAGGCAAATTTTGCCTAATACTTGATCCAAGATTTCCCTTGTCTTCTGGCAGATAACAATTAGTCATTTATGAATATAAATAAAATAAAAAAATAAATAAAAAATGATAAAATAGACTGCCTTATTTTAAGATTTATGCATGTGTATTTGCTTAGCTAATGATTTTTTTCTTTCGAAAAATTACTAGTAAAACGTTTTCAATTAACCTGAATATAAACAAATAAAATATCTGAACACAAATAAAATATTTGAATCTCAATAAAATACAAATGAAATTTAAGAGAACACTGCGTTTATCCTAAAAACATTTTATCCCCGCATGTAAAATACACAGAGATAACAAACCAAGTTATTACATCCAAACTACATTAAGGGAATGAGGTTGTATATTTCATAGCCAGATACAGAAATACCATCGTATTAAATATTTCAATTTAACATAATAAGAGCATTTATTTTTGTTCTGCTATCTAGTAGCAAGATGTCATTACCATTAACAATAATGCGGTCATTTTTCATGGAAAAAATCTATCAATTTATTAATTTCAGGTAAATTCTCTTAGATTTTCATGATCTTCATTACCGATTGTGTGATATGTAAATGTAAACATCTGATAAGAAATAATGGAAAAGGCTATTCTCAAGATCTTGGCGAACCAAGCTCAAGATATACCTATAGATGAGAGTTTTGTAGAAAGCCGAAATTCGAACCAGAAATGGATATTTTTAGTTTTTACCTCAATCAAATAAGAAAAGAAAATGGAGGTGCTACCAAGAGGCGTAGCTAAGGTTTACAACAGTGCACAGGGACAAACCATAAGACAAACTCAGTTTTTGCACCCCTTACAATATGTTACAAGAAATAAAAGGGAACTTTAGGAACCATTTTAAATTTTAGCTATAGTAAAAACTTAAATCAACCGTATTTAGCGTTTTTTTTTTTTTTTTTTTAAAGTTATACATTGAATACTTCACTCCATTTCACAGTGCAGGTTACTAATGTAGTTTCTATTACACTCAGATGTTTTTGATTGCGTTTGTTTTTTGTTGAATGTTAAGTGGGCTCTTAAAACTCATTTTTCATTCAACATATAGACAATTCGATAATAAATTTGAAAAGAAAAAAGTGCAAAACGAACTTCATTAATAGTCTTAGTACGACAATAATAGTTAATAGACTTAGTTAAATTTTTTGGTAAATCGTATAAAAATTTTGAGGAGTTATTGGGCTTGTAATTAGCAAATAAAACTCGGTATATTTAAAAGAGAAAAACATTTTACTCTGGAATTAATTTTCAATTATTCTTCATGAATTCAGCGTTCCTCTAAAACAGTGCTTAGAGACAGATGTCCCCTTTTACCTCCCTCCCCCGCCAGCTACGTCATTGATCCTAATCAATTGGTTGTTGCATAGGAATTTTTTCCCTCAATGTTGTGAAAAACGTTTCTGACGCTACTGAAATAGAATATATGGCAATGAAAGTATATTCAAAAAATAAAAATACCCCCCCACCCCAAATTTTTTTTTTTTATTTTTGACACTGATTCTCTTTTATAAGAATGATAAACAAGCTTAAATAGTATCAAATTTTACAAAATTAATCATCACTAGTAAAATGTTTAAATTTCCCCCCCCCCTTCCTTTTTTGATTTAAATCGGTAAGTCAAGTGTCAATAGTCCAAATCATTATTTTCATTTTATTTATTTTTTTCCAATTTAAGCAGCTATTTCTAGTAGAAAATTTTACTAATAAAGATATCCTAATCAGGGCAATTTTGAACGTACTTTGCGTAACTCTAAAAACTCAGTTTAGATGGTAAAATTAATGGGTTACTTGAAAGAATCGAAGAGTAAAACGAATAGGTGGGTAAAGAAAATCTTGAAACCTCAACTGATAGGAGAAATACTAAACAGGAAGAAAGTCATCTTATTTGTGTTAACCAGCATGCCTTCCTTAGGAGCAATACCTGATATCGTAAAGAATGCGTTTTATGTCCGGCATCAAAGACATAACTAACCTTGAGACACAACTAAATGAAATTCGACGAAAACAATCTTTAACATCTAAGGAAAATTGCAGTTCTCAGATTTAAAAACACTCAAACTAAGTTGGTCTACAATTATATTTCCTACTGCAGTTAATTCAATTACCGATTCTCGTACTATAAGTCTTCATTAACATAACACTCTATTCAGGGTTGGTTATAATATAATGAAACATGCATTTTATTGCTTTTTAGAAATTTTTTAGTAACTTAAACAAGTACCATTTCCTTATGCATCAGAAAAATTGGCATTTTGGATTGGAAGGATTATCAATTTGATAAATTTTAGCTTTGATGAATTTAAACAAATAATATAAGCTGAAAGAACATAAAATAAAAATTTAATATTAATAACTAAAACTGTAAAAATGGTTTATTTGAAGCATAATATGCTTGCAGATTAATACATAATAATGCAAATATATACAAAATTGTTTTTTTAGTCACAACATCTTAGTGTTTATAATTTAATTTAGAGATCTTTCAATTGAATTCAGATATTCAAATTTATTTTTTAATAGAATTCAATGATTAAATAACTCTTTTTTACTACTGATATACAAACAACTTCGTGGCAAATTATGGGGATACTATAATTTATTAAATAACATTTAAGAATTTTAAGGGGGAAAAATTCACATAATTTAGTGTGTAAAGTTCACAAAATGTGTCTAACATGAAACATAATGTCTGAAACATGACTAAGATAGAAATTTTTTTAAATTCTAATTATTATAGATCGATAATTATATAATTATATTAAATCATTATGCAAGCTAGTTATAATTAATTACAAATAATAACTATAAAAACTTAAAAAGTCACTCCAAAACCTTCCCTCTATTATTAGTGCCTACAAAGAATACTGTTACAGGAAAGCATAAATAGTGAAATCAATAATACAATGTCAAGGCTTTTTGTTAAGTCACTGATGATAAACAAAATTACATTTCACAGGATGGAGACCTGATTTTTTAAAATCAATTTCATAAATAAAAATAATTAATTCCAGCTACAGAACCTTTTAATATCAATCCAAATTGAGATGTAATAATGTCTCATATATGATTCATATTTAATCAATCAACTGAAGACATCCACGAAAAAAACAAATTTGTCAGCTCACAGGAATGTAATATAACAATCGAAAGACAAAGTTTATTAATTTTATAAACAAAATCTCTCAAAACATTAACTTACATCCTTGATCAGCCGTTCGGGGCGTTCTAGAAGGAGATGTCGTCGTCTCATTATTAGAAGGCTGCCGCACAATCATTATGTTACCATTCTTTTCCCAGAAACGAGTACCGCGTAATATAGCGTCCATCATTTCTTGAACACTTAATAACACAATCACATCACAAACAGATGTAATCCAGATTACACTTAATGTTTAATCCAACATATAGGCGTAGTTACAACGTTAAAAAATGCACTGAATTCTTGAAGAGGACCGATGGCGGATGGTACGGGAATGGGAACTGCGGGAGTAACGGGCAACAGTTGCCCATGCGCGTGATCGAGTCATCATCCCTCCCATGCTGCCTTTCGGGATGAGGACATACATAGGGATGAGGATGATGTTCCCGAACGAAAAGGAAGGGGTGATGGACAAAATATGTAATCGCTTTTTACGTCGCGACGTTTAATAACTTCAACGTGACATCTTCAAATGTGGATGGTAGACTTTGTGGTTTCAAAAAGAGCTACCGAAAATAACAAGCGAAAGCAGACGATAATTTGAAGTTTCGCAAGATTTATTGAGGACGGTAGCAAGGACAAGATGAAATGACAAATGCAGGGATAAATAATTTTATTTCCTCAGTTTTTGATGTTTATTTTTCGTAGGACGTTTGTGAAACTAGTTGCATTCAAATTAGTTTACATTTAATACAGTATTTATCCTATTTACGGGCTCGAAGAATAAGCCCTTTTCATAAAATTTAATAAACCAGGAACCATCATATTCCTTTAAATCAAGTTCAGTTCACAGGGGGGCGCGATTATTTTTAAAATAAATAAATCCTGAAAATAGCAATTTATACAAATGAAAACCATGCAGGACATTTTGCGTTGACACATGTATTTTTGCTCCATAATTCCTAATTTTCCTTCATAATTTCTCAATGTAAAATTTAAAAAATTGTTTATTATTTGATTTTCAATAAATTATATTTTATTACATTAAGACTAGACTAATGTAACAAAATAAAAATCCATAAATAGAAAACTTGTACAATTGACTAAAATGTGCTAAATTTTCCTAGGTACATTTCTACACGGGACAGGGGCCCCCATCAGGGGGGAAGGTGGGAGCAGGATGCGCCCACTTAAAGCTTGGGGGGGAATTTAGAATTTGCCCAAGAGCTTGGGGCCACTGACACGGGAAATTAATTTTTTAAATTAAATTTTCCGAAACATTACTATTTAAACGTAGATACAAATCTTCAATAAAAGGGATAGTTAAAACTTCCCTCTGAACTTTATTTTCCGTTACTATGACGTCCATCCTCTCACCGATTCTCTAACTACCATTATAAAACTGCTTTATATATTAACGAAAGAGAATCATTCAATATTTTTTTATTACCATGCCATGACAATTGTCTATACCCTGACAACCCTTCAAAATTATCACGTTTAATACGCTTGAGAATTTTTTTTATCAAAAATGAAATAGAAAATTTTACACATTCTTCTTCTTCTTTGTCAGCGCTACAACCCCTTGCAGACCTTGGCTGCTTCAACAGCTGACAAACGCCAGCACCTCCTATCCATGGCAACTCCCTTCCAATTTCTAATCTTTAGGCTTAGTTTACACATTAGGCGTCTATAATAATTCTTGGATCGAGGGAAAAAAAAAACAAAAATGTCATCAAAATCTATCTAATCACTACTGAAGAAACCAGAAATGAAAACAACAAAACCTATTTGATTGCCAGAGGAAACAAATATAAGGTGAAAGGTGATTGTTAGACTCAACTAACGGTTTCAGAAGGCAATCAAACAAGTTTTGATGTTTTTCATTACACATCCTTAAGAGTCATTCAGTGAGATTTCTCGTGTGCATAATTACTTAAGTTTTCAGTTTTTGGACAAGGACTATTTATATATAAGCGGCTACTACAGAATACCTAAACAGGGGTCTGTTTAGAAGAAATTAAATGATAAAATATTATGTAAATAAAAATTAACTTACATCAATTTTTAAAAAAAACTAATATAAATTTAAGAATTGTTTAATGATACATAACTAAGTTGTGTTATTTAAAATATGTCAATTGAAATTCTCAAAAATGTGAGTGATTTTGTTTCCATTATTCGTCAGAAATGAATATTCTGTGTCGTGCAGCATAGGCTAAATACCAAATATTTGTACGCTGCATCTCTAACTTAGTAGCAGCAATAGCTGTTTATTTTTGAAAATTTAAATTTTTTTAAAATTATAAATTTACAGTGTTGAGCATAATCTTGTATCCATTTACAATTTAAAAACTCCTTGAAAAGGCTTTATCCAATGACAGGACCCTTTTTGCACAAATTCACAAAACAGGACCCTGGGTGAAAGAATGTAACTTAACGCTTATTTCACATTCACAAATTACGAGCAATTTTTTCACAATTTTACAAAAACAGGATCTTTCACAAAATGTCTGGACAGACCCCTGCTAATACAAGCTATTTACATTGATTAAACTGTTAGCGTCCAATAAGATGTTTTATAAACTATTGTATAAATAGTAAGAATTATTCTTAAAACTTATTTAATCTATCATAAAACTCTTACTGATTAAAAAAAAGACTCAGTCTTATATTTAGCCACGGAGAGAAAAATAGTTCCTGGCGCCATATCTATTCCATTTTACACTACGTAGTAAGTAATGAGCAATCATTCGATCCGGGAACGTGTGAAGGATCTTACGTAAATTAATCAATGACAAACTTTAACAGCTGACAGAATCACTAACAAAATTAGCTATCGATCACAAGATCAAATGTTAAGCTTATGAGTATAAATCATTTTGTTGAAAATTTTCATAGGAATATTATGTAATAAAATGTACGTTTAAAGAATTTTTAATTCGCACTTCTTGTTGCATGGGAATAAAATTTCTTTTCTCGTGTGTTCATTCAAAAAAGTTTAACGAAAAAAATAAATAAATAAATATTTTAGCCACAATTTGTTTAAGCTACATCTGATCTATTTCAATTGGACTCACTGATAGAAATATTTAGTAAAACTTTTTCAGAATATAAAATTAATATAAGGAAAAAAAATCACAGAACAAAAAAAGAAAAGAAAAAAAAAATCACAGAACAAAAAAAAGAAAAGAAAAAAAATACCGGGNCGGGGGGGGGGGAGTTATTTTACGGTAGCAATGAAAACTATAGAACACTAAGTGTTTATCTGTTGCTCTCTTTAAAAATTATACATTACATTAACAAACAATTCGATTTATGTAATTCCTGTATTGTACACAAAATATATCAATTCTATTCTTGGTCGAAAAATTAACACTGCAGTCACAAGTAGCAAGGATTTTGCGTAAAAACGTAAATTTCTTTAAGAATTCCACCTTTTCCGGATAATATAAACATTAAACATGTAATGAAAGTAAAACCATTTAAAAAAAAGGTTTTAACACATACCCCCTCCCCCTCCCCCAAAAAAAATTACAATTAATGATTAATTCGATCGTTTAATTAATACTTAATTAAACGATTGGATTAATTCGATCAATTAATTATTAGAACAGATTGGATCAACCAATTCACTGGTTATAATTGTTCTTCTCTTATTAAGTAAATTTTGAGTTGAAGATACGATGAACTTGGCTGGAAAAAATAATCATTATAACAAAACAAAAAAAAACAAAAAGTATTCCCTATCTTAGAGGATTTTAATCTCAAATCAACCATAAAAAAGTACAGTTTACCTCAAACTGAAGCATACGTGTAAAAGCGTTTTATTTCATTTGCTATTTTACGTGATTGTAAAGTTGTACATTGACATAATAAATTTGACTGGAGAAATAATCCCGTCAAAAAAAAAAGATGTAAAAAATTATCCTCCTCATTAAATATTAAAAATCGCCCTCGTAAACAATCACAATTAATCCTTTAAACCAGTGTTTCTTAACCTTTTTGATATAATGGACCCCTTTAAAAAATTTTTAAGAAGTCACGGACCACCCCCCTGTAAAAAAAAATAATTGCAAAAAACATCAATTATTAGAAAACATTTTATTTTATTATTTTAATAGTATACAAAATTTTTATAATTAAAATTTTTAATGTGAAGGTTGCTGCTGCTTTTCCTTAATTAATAAATTTAATTGGGGGATGGTTTTCAACAAAGCAACGTGTATATTATGAACATTCAATCGATTTCGATGTTATATTTTTATTGTCACAAGTTTGGAAAATTCCGCTTCGCAAAGATACACTGTAGCAAACGGAATTATAGCTGCCATAGTTCGATTCACAGGCAATGGGTAGGCTTCCAAACGTTTTAAAAATTAGGAGTAGTCAGCGGACCCCCAAAATATAACTCATGGACCCCTTAGGGGTTCATGAACCACAGGTTAAGAAACCCTGNTAATGTGAAGGTTGCTGCTGCTTTTCCTTAATTAATAAATTTAATTGGGGGATGGTTTTCGACAAAGCAACGTGTATATCATGTTCAACATTCAATCGATTTCGATGTTATATTTTTATTGTCACAAGTGTGGAAAATTCCGCTTCGCAAAGATACACTGTAGCAAACGGAATTATAGCTGCCATAGTTCGATTCACAAGCAATGGGTAGGCTTCCAAACGTTTTAAAAATTAGGAGTAGTCAGCGAACCCCCAAACTATAACTCATGGACCCCTTAGGGGTTCATCAACCACAGGTTAAGAAACCCTGCTTTAAACTAATTTATAGTTTTAATATAAAAAATTGTCTAAGATATTTAAGAAAAAGAAGAAAAACTACCTTCCCTGATTTTGCATTTAAGTGAAAAAAAATGGCGACAAAAAAAATTGCAGCTATTTTTTTCCAGTTACGTAGATGTACGAGATAATATAAGGCGGAAACAATCTAAACGAAATACTAATTACACGCTTAAAATGGCCTAATGACTTTGAAACGATAGTGATGGATTTTCTCGTAAAAATATAAACGATAAGATAGAAAAGAAAGATAGCTTTTTCTTAATCATATTTTACAAGATAAATGTGTTCCCTTATGTCCAGTACCATGAGCAAGTGTAATTATAATTAGGGTGATTTAACGAATGAATCGCGATAAGAATACTGTCACAAGGCAGTTTTAAAAACAAAATTAAATTCCTGAATACCAAGAAAAAGGTTGAGAACGCCTACGTGAATTCACTAAATATACCAGACGAAATTATAATAACAGCAATTATTAAATATAATACACATATTTAACAGTTTTTAAAAAAAAAATCTTAAAAATACAATAATCTAATACAAAAATCTTAAATCAAAAAGTAGAAGAAAGTATCTTAAGTTCTTTGCCAACCCGCTCAACGTAACTA